TTAAGTATGTGCATGTAAGTAGTGTGTAGTAGTGTGTACAATGTGTGACCTGATCTCCCCGGTGAAGTCGGACTGCAGCTCCTTAGGTGCTGATTTTCCAGTGGTAGTTCACTTTATCTGAACTCAAGTTTGACGTCACTTCACTATTTCAGTTTATCAATTTTATTGTACATATAATTAAATTCAAAGTCAACCAATTCGACGTTCATCGTAATCAAACACGTGACACACGACACAAGTAAAGAACAGTCGTTCAAAGTTCAATATTCAATGTTCCGGGTTCATTTAGCACAAAATTACAAACACGGGAAAGAACGCGACCTCTTTTCGAGTCTCAAAGTTCAGCGTTCCACGCAACAAGCTAAAATTCCTTCGTACGATATTAAATACCACGCCCGCAATCAGAACTCAAAATCCGCCTCGTTGACACGTAAAACGATAGAAAATAGTCAACACACAAAAGGGCACTTAACGCGACGTTGCAAATCAACATTAACTTCCAAAAACAATTAACCGGGCCACGTCTTGCAACGAAGTTACTTTAATCACTCAAATTCAATACAAGCCTCTTGTCACGAAACGTACAAATTAGACAAACCAATTCGAGGCGTTCTACACGAAACTCCAAATATTCAATAGTAAATTAGACGCGCACAAAAGTACTCAAATTCTAGGCCATCAAAACCAAAATCTGGCCGCACGCAACCGATACAGCGGTCGCAAACAATACAACTCTTCGACCGAGCCGAGGCGGTCAAGCTACTGTTGCTAGCCCACGCGGGCGAAAAACGGGAAGCGGCTCACGCCCCCTCCCCCGGCGGCGTTTACCTCACCTCGATAACATCGGGTGGCGCGCCGCGCGCGCATCTTGATGCAAGTTTTTAAAATATTACGATTTTGGCCTAAACAACGAGATTATTAAGGATTTCGCAAACAGAAAAGCGAGAAGAATTGAAATAATGTAATTTAAGTATGTTTATATTCTTACATATTTTAAACTCTTGTTGTTTCTTTAAACAGCATACGTAATAGTTAAATCAGTATTATTAGAAAAGACAGCTATTTTGTTATTAATATCTAAGTATACAATTAGATATAACATCATAAATAAAGTATGTAAAAATTAAATTCGTGTTTTATTTTTCGCATTAATTGACAAGCGGAAGCGATCTGGTTTTACCTATTTAGGAAAATATTATCTAAGTATTTTATAACTGGAGAACATTTATTTCGGTCAAAATTAACAAATAATAAAAAAAAAACATAAGTTAAAACATGAAGATTCGTGAAAAAAGAGGCGCTTCATAGGTTTGGCACACAGTCGCTGTCGGCGCAGCCCTGCTCGCCAGCAACACAAAGTCGCGAATTTACATTTGGAAAAATCCAAACTTAGGGGCTTTTTAGGTGCTAATTAAGTGCCAAGTTTAAAAATTAGCTGCTTTAAAATTTTCACTGCAACGAACGATTGAAATTTGCGTTGCTGGCAAAACGTATCGCTAGCAACGCAATGAAGTTATTAAATATACGATAAATATTAATAGCAGATAATTACGTGCTAATTAGGTGCAGCAAGTATAGGCGATGATAAGACGCCCCTAATAAAAATAAAGTCGTTATTCAGAACAAAGCAGATGCATACTTCAGTTTTCTGAAACTCTGTCTCCCGGAGGGGCTAAAAGTGGATTGCGGAGGCCCGTCTGGCTACGCTGAATGTATGTGGAGCAATGAATGATAAGATGGATGAAGTATGCGAAATGATGAATGATAGAGGAATAGATGTGTTATGTGTAAATGAGACGAAACGAAAGGGAAGAGATGTCACTGCACATGGCATGTATACCGCTTACTGGTCTGGTGTAGACGAGACCGAGCGGGCATGCCAGGGAGTCGGTGTCATCCTTTCAGAAAGAATGGGTCAATGTGTGAAAGAGTATGAATGTGTAAGCCCAAGGTTGCTGTGGATACGAATGAAAGTGGGCTTAAAGAAGTTGTTTGTGCCAGGGGTGTACGCCCCAGATATGTCTAAGCCCGCTTATATCCGAGAGCAGTTTTGGGACATGGTAAGGCGTCCAATGAAAATATTATTATGTTAGGAGATTTTAAGGAAGGGTTGGGGTGAGAAGGTCTGGTTGTGAAAGGATATTATGAACGTTTGGCGATGAAAGTATAAGTGAGAATGGTGAAGACCTCCTCACCGTATGTGTGGGAAAGAATCTTTTTATGACGAACACTTTCTTTCGCCATAAGAGGATTCACATGTATACATGGGAAAGAGGGAATGATAGAAGCATGATAGATTTCATAACTGTGTATGAAAGAATGAGGAGCGCAGTGGTAGTACAAGGGTTTACCGGGGGTCCAACGTAGGGACGGATCATTACTTGGTCTTATGCCGAATTAATGGTCTATTCAGGCGTTGGCGGCATCGGACATCTGTGTCTGCCACTGCGTTAGAGCGTATAAGAATAGAGAGGTTACAAGATGAAGGTGTGAAATAAAAGTAGAAATGTAGACTGAATGCGGAAATCCACGGAAAGCGTGGCAGGGGTTGCCTTTGTCTTCTTGCTCCGCTTGCCCCGAGCAGGTTTCGTCTTGAGTGGAATTTCGACCCCCCCCCCCCCCCTCCCAGAATACGCGCGGCAGCCTGAGCAACCACACTCAGAAAGAGTAGGGTAGCATGCGCTGCAGGGTAGCTGGGATTCTCCACGGATGCTGGTACCCTCCTGTAGCAGTGTTTCTTTTAATTCCGCTACCATGTTGATGGGGGGGACCACTGTTAAAAATGAATGTTGTTGTATGTTCGATGTGTGATCAGAATCGAAAGTAAATTAAGTGTTGGGCAAACAAAAAGCACAAAATCATCTGATCATTTTGTGCAGGTTCCTACAATAAAAGAAGAAAAACTTTTGACAATATTGTGGTAAGTCTTTAAGCATTTTGAATTTATTGATATTTATATGGATTATTAGTATATTAACTCGAATTTTATCTATTTAAGGTCATGTATTTGGGCTGAATTAAGTTATCACCATGAGAATTTTGCTGATTTAAATTTTCGTTAATGTTCTATGAAGAATAATTCTCAAGATAACATATGTTATCAATCAATATTACGCGTGGAAATATTATTTGCAAAAGCAGTAAAAATATCAATAATAATATATAGAGTATAAAAAATCTCTTCCATAAAATAAAATTGCACAATTATACCTATTTTTAGTTTTATTTTATCCCACATAATCCTCTAAAGTAAATTGGAGTAATTTTGGCGCAACCTCTCAAATGTATGGGAATTCACCCAATACGTTTGTGAGCCAAAATTACTCAAATTTGCCTTATATAAAAAGTTACAGAATACGAGGTTTGAAATTCTCGCTAAAAAGTTTTATATGGGCGCCCACCGTGGCGCTTTTAGTGCTATTTTACCCCCCCCCCCCCCCCCGCATATGATGAATTTGGAGTGTATGTATATATATATATATCTCGCTGTCGTTTGAGTGCATTCGACACTTGAGAAATTTGGTTTTATCAACTTTTTGTATTTATCATTGCATTTAAAGCATTTTTAACGATGGTGCAATTATATTCAAGCAAGGTGCAGTTTTTTGTACTGTAAAAAGTACTCACTTCTAATTATTTGATGTAATATCGACGTTATAAGGTGAACGATCCTTAACTATTTTTTTATTTCTAAACTACATGGGTACAGTTTAAATAATAAATATGTTTGAGATGTGCTATTTAAAATACGTCTGCCAGTATTTTTTTATGTATATACTTCAAATAATCATAGGCTGCGGAGGGAGGGCGGGGGGTCAATTTTTTATTACTTTTGAGTTGTTATCAAGAAAATAAGTACAATACTTTTATCTCTTTTTTTATTACCTCTGTCACCTACGGGTCATTATAGGGTAATGGATTATTTTACGCCGCCAATATACGGTGAATATCATATTTTTACGAGTTGGACCCATGCTGCAGCTATTAGTAGTATAGTTGTAGCACGAATGGGTCGGCTCGACCGGGGAAGGACCACGCTCTCACAGAGTACTAGCTTAAAATAACAGCTCAGCACTGCTGTGTTTCGTATGGTGAGTGTAGAGAACCGGAGACCCTTTTTACTGGAAACGAGGCATGCCATCTTAGTCCTCACGGGTGCAGTTTGATTCGTAATCGAAGATAGATGTAGATGTCTATGGGCCACAGCAACCACTTACCATCAGGTGGACTGTGCACTCGTTTGTCGTCCTTGTTTTATAAAAAAAAGAAACATTACATATGGGCAAGGCCACGAAAACGCTTTCGCATATCGGGATAGCGCAGCGTCATAACCCTAGATTATTATAAATATGTTAGGTCATAACTTATCTAAACTGCGAGTGTTTTGATCGATCCACTTTTAAAGCTGCAAGGAGTGTTTTAGGGTATGTCTTCTGTATCGACGAAGTTAGGTGCACAAGCATCAACTCTTTTTCAACAAATTACAACAGGTACTTTGAATCTTTTAAATTATTACGTCATTTATAGCCAAACCATAATAATATTTGCACATTGGCTAGAGGGAAATAAGTGATCAATTTATTATCACCATATTATCACTAATTGTCCTACACTACAGTAGTTCCTTTATGATTACCTCTCCTAAATAAGAAAAGATCTAATAATATACTAAATTTCTCGGATAGTTTCATTATATTTATTTCATAATGCTCTGAGGATGATTAAATTTTGTAACATAAAAACAAACCTTATTTTATGCAATTTTTATTAATATTTATATATTAATTATTTACATTACTAACTACTACTATTTGAACTAAATGTTTTTCTTGTTTTTATAAAAATAGAGCGATGTAACAACACCCATACCGATTCGATTCGATCTTATTCTTTGACGATAACCTGTGCCGTAAAAGTATAACTTTTTTTAAGCTTTTTGTAAATCTTGATTTTTTATTTGTCAACTCAAACGACTTCCTAAAATAATTTTTGTGTGGTTATCACATAATTGCACAAAGTCCATCCTTCTCATTTTCCGATTTTCCCTCCTTGATTTCTTTAGCTTTTAGAGCAAGGTATGTGTTTTCATCTCTTTTAGCCATCCATTCTGGTAATGGCTTGTCCCAGTCAATTGGCGGTGACTCACGTTTCTTCCAGGTGTCATTTCTATAGTGGGCCTTTAACCTTTCTAGGCGGCGTTTTTTTTCACTCTGAATTAAAGCTTCCTGTAAAAGATTAAAGATTTTAATTCTTTTAGAACTCATTAAAGCAATCAAGATGTGCCACTACTCGCATCTTGATGCAGAATTTTACGACACTAACTCTAATTTTTGTCTGTTTATGGGTATCTACATATAGTGGTGTAAGTTTCAATATTGTAATGAATCCTTGTTTTGGTTCAAATGAGTTATATCAGACAAATATACATGGAGAAATCTGAGCAGTGTGTTAGTGGTAGGACTCCTTTTAGGGTTCCGTATCCGAAGAGTAACCAACGTAACCCTATTACTAAACCTCCGCTGTCCGTCCGTCTGTCTGTCAGCGGGCTGTATCTCATGAGCCGTACTAGGTAGACAGTTGAAATTTTCACAGAATGTAAATAAAAATAAATTTAAAAAAAAACATGCGAGGGTCGTGGAACACTCGGTTGAAACGAAATTCTTTTCGTAGTATATTATTATTGATAAACGTATTATATTATTGATTAACAAATACAAATATATTAATAAAATAAAAATAAAATTCATTTCAATTACTAGCGTCTATTAAAATGACGCGTTATTTATAATAAAATAATATTTCTTTCATGACAAGATAAGAAAAAGTACGAGGGATTCCATCTCGCTTCCTTGTAGCCGCCAAGGCCGTCTACACTACGTCAGAAGAGGTCGTGACGGAAAAATCTTACATTTTTTTCTCGCCTTGCCTCCGCCTTGCATCCGCCAAATTCGTACAGTCCAATAAGGAACTTTGTTCCAAAAATTGAAGGTGGCTCCCCTACTAGAAACGTGTTTTTTACCTATACAGTATTAAGTCTTGTACGATGGTACGGAACCCTTCATGCGCGAGTCCGACTCGCACTTGAGCAGTTTTATTTGCATAGGCGTCTGTCTGAGTAGGTACTACCCTCTTACTTGTTTGTGACGCCAAGTAGCAGTACCTGCACTGTTGTGTTCCGGTTAGAAGGTTACGTTTCGGGAGGTAGTATAATTACAGGCTGTAAGGCATTCATCTTAGTCCTCAGAGGTGACAACGCACGTGCAGCCATCTTCGTTTGAAGTTGGCTACTGTGGTGATGGTTTCAGTAGACACTTAAATCAAGTAGACTGTAAGTTCTTTTGACGCTTTTATTCCATTATCCATCTACTACATCCAATAAAAGTACACTGCTGAACACAGCCCCCAGTAGATTTAGCGAACGGGTTGTCAACCGCAGTTTTTTTGAAGAACAACTGTTCAGCGATGTTTCAATGATCACGCGAGTGAAAACTAGTAGCAATACAGTATAGACTATTTAAATCTTAATAGCTCTTGAAAACTGTCCATGCGGTGGATGTTAAGTACTGCAAGACCCGTCGAGAAAGAACCCAAAAACCGAAGAACAGAAACTGAAAAACTAAGAAATGAAATTGCAGTAATAGCCGAAACAAAATTTTAAAAAGTCAAAATAATGAGGGCTAATAATCTTCCGCTCACCAGATGTCGCTAGTTGTATTATATTAATACACAACACAATGCGTCAGTGATTTGATCTTTAATTTTTTTGTACTTTATAAAACTTTATTATTTATTTTTTTACTTTTAGTTATATCTCTAGTTTGTTTTATTTATTTTTAATTTAATTAATACAAAATATAACTAATAATACAGAAGGAAATATTAACCTTTAAATGTTTCTAAGAAATTATCTTTCCCGCTATGAAATCTGTCAAATGATTCAAACCTCACTGTAAAGTGGTGCCGCCCTGGTGGCAGAAAAAGTAGTGGATGCCCTCATATATTCGGGGTTAATACGTGAATAATAATAAATCTGTAGAAAGGTGCTTTATAATTCTTATTTTATTATTATTTATTATTTTTATATTATCTAGAAAGAAAACAAGTCTCAAAGGCTAAAACAAAGGGTGTTGAAGTCCAATTAGTGATTTTTAGAATTCTTGTCTATCTGTCTGTGTATTCACGATTCAGGTACAAATACTTAATTTCCATGAAAGTTGATATGATTAATGATTCCGGGTAAAATATAGGCCTGGAATATCAATGGTTTTCTACCAAATAAATAGGAGCTGGAAATGTTTATTCAGGCAAACAAAATAGATATAGCGCTAATATCGGAGACTCATCTCAATAACCGCAAGACATTTAAAATGTGTAACAATTATTGGGTATATTGCACAAATCACCTTGACAATACATCACATGGTGGGACAGCGGTAATTGTAAAGAATAACATTAGACATTACTATCAATCCGAATTTAAGGAAGACTGGCTACAAGCTACTACTGTCACTATAGAAGACTTTGGCCCTTTTAATGTAAGCTCTGTATACTGTCCGCCAAAGCATAAACTTAAGCAGGACATGCTATCCAAGTACTTTGACACTGGGCCACAGGTATATCTGCGGTGGTGATTGGAATAGCAAGCACACAGATTGGGGATGTAGACTGACAACTAGAGGAAGGGAGCTTAAGAAATGTGTAGATAATCATAAATTAATAACCCTCTCTACAGGCGAACCAACCTATTGACCAACAGATTCCAACCGAACACCAGATATGATCGATTTCTTCATAACAAAGGGGCTCTCAAACATACACTTAAAAATAGAATCGTCTCTTGATACCTTATCGGATCACTCACCAGTATTGCTAACTCTGAGTGTAACAATAATACACAAAGAGCAAAGCCACAAGTTAAGCAATCATAAAACAGTCTGGAATGCATCTACCGAATACTTACAAGAGGAAAGAAACCTAAGAGTGAGTCTTAAATCCGAGGCAGAAATAGATGATGCAGCATTTTACATCACAAACCTGATATAGGTGTCGACATGACGTGTACTCCGACTCTGGAGCTTCCATCAAATAAATGTAGCATACCTCTTGAAATACGCTGTAAGCTCGAGGAAAAACATAAAACGATGAGGCGGCTTCATGCAAGCAGATCAGTACATGACAGAAGAGAATTTAACAGGATCTCTAGAGAACTGAAGGACATGGTCATTGAGAAGAGGAATGCCACTTTTCAACAGAAACTGTCTACACTATCAGCCCCGAACAAAGATTGGAAAATTACCAAAAATTTCAAAAGACCACTTAACTTAACGGTGGTAGAGCCACGCAGCAGTTTTTGCTGTTGCATGTATGGGCCGGCTCGAGCCGGGTTGGTACCACGACCTCACAGAATACCGGCGTGAAGTAGAAGCTTTGCTTCTGCGTTTCGTCTGGTGAGTGCAGGTGGCCGGAGGCCCAATTCCCCCCCCCCCCCCCCCCCATCAACATGGTAGCGGAATTACACGAAGAACTACCCCAGGAGGGTACCAGCACCCCTAGAGAATCCCTCGCTGAGCATCCACGACCATGTTATTCCGATCCTGAGCGTGGGTGCTCAGGCTGCCCCGCGTATTCTGGGGGGGGGGGGGGCAAAATTCCGCTCAAAAGCATTACTGCTAGGGGCAAACTGAGCAAGAACACCAAGGCGACCCCTGCCACGCTATCCGTGAATTTCTGCAACATCAGGGGACTTCACTCTAACCTAAACGCCGTCCACTACCATCTCGAGACGGCGAAGCCGGCCTTGCTCTTTCTGACCAAGACGCAGGTTTCCTCTCCGGCTGATATTTCGTATCTCTCCTACCCGGGGTACAAATTGGAGCATTCCTTTGTGCCTCGGGCTGGAGTTTGCGTGTTTGTCAGAGAGGACATCTGCTCTCGACGCCTCGGCAGTCTTGAAGGTTCGGACCTGTCCATCCTTTGGCTACGCGTAGACAGCGACGACCATCCGCGCGTCTACGGGTGCCTCTATAGGTCCCATAGCGGTAATGCCGAAACAGACCGACTCATCGACCACGTCCAAATGGCTACAGATTTCTTGCTACAACAGGTCCCATCCGCAGAGATCGTGATCCTTGGCGATTTTAACGCCCACCATGCCGAATGGCTCGTTTCACGTCTAACCGATCATGCGGGGAGATCTGTTTATGACTTTGCCTTGGCATATGGTCTGACACAACTGGTTACTTCGCCTACGCGGATTCCAGATGTGGAGGATCATACACCTTCCCTGTTGGACCTTCTGCTGACCTCTCATCCGGACGGATATCTGGTTTCCGTCGATGCCCCTCTCGGCTCTTCGGACCATTGTCTGATCCGGAGTGTGGTGCCACTCACGCTCCCTTCGCGGTTGCGTTCTGCAGGTTGCCGCCGTGTTTGGCATTACAGGTCGGCGGATTGGAACGGAATGCGGTCCTTCTTTGCATCCTACCCATGGGGGCGGGTTTGCTTCTCGCCGGATGATCCCAGCGCTGTTGCTGACTCTGTCACTGATGTGGTGCTACAGGGAATGGAACTATTTATTCTATCATCTGTGGTACCCATCGGAGGCAGATCTCAGCCTTGGTTTGGTCGCTCCTGTAAGACTGCATTACGCAGTAAGCAGGAGTGTTATCAAGCCTGGGCTGCGGCTTCGGCGACTCGGGATGTAAATACCAGCACACTTAAAAAGAAGTATAACTTCGCCTCCAGGTCCTTCAAAAGAGTTATTGCCAAGGCAAAGTCAGAGCACATAGGCAGAATTGGCGAGAAACTAGTTCGCCTTCCTTCGGGAACCCGTGCATTCTGGTCTCTCGCCAAGGCTGTCCAAGGGAATTTCTGTAAGCCATCACCTCTAAAAAGCTTGGCGTGCTCAGCAGAGCGGGACAGTATTTCATGCCGGCACACCGCCTGCTACTTTACAAGGCGCAAGTTCGGCCTCACATGGAATACTGTTCCCATCTCTGGGCAGGGGCTCCCCAGTGCCAGCTCCTTCCACTTGACCGCATCCAACGCAGAGCGGCTCGAATTGTCCACGACCGAGCCCTTTCCGATCGGCTCGATTCATTGGCACTGCGAAGAGATGTTGCATCCCTTTGCATTTTCTTTCGCATCTACCATGGGGAGTGCTCTGAGGAATTGTTCGGATTAATCCCAGCCGCAAAATTTCACGAACGCACATCGCGGCAGAACT